ATCACCACTCTTGGAGCCCAGGGACTCAGAGTGGTTTACTATTTCAAACACAGCCTGAAGAGCATGAAAGCGTATAATGCCTTTCCCACATTTTCCTTGCTTTTAAGGAGATTGATAAAATGAAATTACTGGTTAAAACATATGAATGTCTGCATGTTTAAAAGTATTTTTGAGGGCTTATTTCTTGGAAGAAAATAGAGGTTTAAGTTTTATCTGTGCACCCTTCTAAATTCCCACTTTGTATCCCAGGTCCTATCACCGACACTTTCCAAATGGTGTACTCATGATGCACACAGAAGCCAACAAATTTCCTTTAGTCCCTATGGCCAGCAAAACTTCAACAGAGGCCTGAATCCTCCCACTTCTTAAATAGAAGTGGAGCATAAATTAACACCTAAAGCCAAATATGTTCTGAACTTTATTTCCCTGGCTTCCAGATGGAAAGAATCAAATTTTACCTCCTGGATGAGATTAACCATGGTGTAGTAGCTCAGTACAGATCTGGTGTGGGGCAGGGGAAAGAAGTGAAAGCAGGATGTCTGATTCCTGAGCTGTGAAGAAAAGCCCAGCATTGAGCCAAAGTGATGCAGAAAAATGGCTTAAATATTAAATAGCTACCTTCTGTCATTCTGGTCTGAATAGGTGAAGAAAACACATAAATAAAAATTAAATAAAAGAAAAGAGCTAAAAATAAAATCACATGAAATGAATGAAGCTGAAACTTTGAATGCAAATACAATTATATGTCTTTGGGTGAAATTCATAACTAGTTTTCGGCAATGCCCACCTGACTTACTCATTGCCTTGCAAAATGAGAGAATATAAATCAGAGTTGACAACGAGGTCTTATTTCCCTCTTTGGAGGTTTTAACTGAATAATAAATCATACAGATCCTGCATCGTGTGCTTCTTAGGATTCAGAGCTATTCTCTGGGCTGGTGCCTACAAACAATGATTCCTACTATGTGATGCCTGTAGAGGGCAAGCCTCCCTTCTGCTTGCTGCCACCTCCCATTCCAATTAGGCAAATCAACAAGTTTGGAAAAGATTTGCTTGCATTAGCAGGAAGGAAGATAATTGGATACTTATCTGAAAAATATCTTAGTTTTAGTTCTCTCTGAATGTGCTTTCAAATCATTTTTAAAAATATAAATTTCTTCTACATAGTGAGAACCTGTCTCAAAAAAACAAAAAAAAATACATTTTTCTTATTTTGAATATTCCATGTAGGGGCTGGGGATTTAGCTTAGTGGCACCGCACCTGCTTTGCAAGAGCAAGTTCCTGAGTTCGATCCCCAGTACCATAGAAAAATATATTACATGTAATATGCCAATATCTACCTGTTTAAAATTCAAATACAGAGTCCATATAAAGCCATAAATTATATAATGACACTCATCTTTGGAAATTTGCACCTTTACATAATTCATCTTTGTTCTTATTTTTTCCCCATTCCCCTGCCCTTCCTTCAACCCCTCCACCCCTCCCTATCTACAGAGACTTTTTTTTTCATTTTTCATTTTCTTATTTTTTAATTCTATTCCCTTCTTTCTTTCCCTTCCCCTTTGCAACTTTTCTTCCTATTTAACATCATCTTTCATATCTCTTAGCTCTTATTTACACTTTCAGTTTTTCACACCAGAGAAACTATTCAGTAATTGCACGTGTCCTCTTTACTTCACTTAAGAGTATGGCCTCAATGTGCATCCACTTAGCTGTAAGTGTCTCTAGTTTCTCGTTCTTTATGGCTGAGTAGTACTCCATTTATTTCCAATGATTAATGTTGTTATATTGTACACCTTAAATGTACAGGTAAAATTAATTTAAAAACCACAATAAATTATAATTTTAGCTCACCTTCCGCTGTAGTCACTTCAGCTGTTTCATAATTAACTTGATGTATATCAATATAAACCATTGAATGTTTATGTCTCCATACTTTTCCAAATGTTTGCATGTACCTATATGTATATGTATATATATGTATATATTATAATCACACACATACGTACACATATATAAGTAGTTTAGAGTTTAAGTATATAATATACTTCTCATATTATATACATTAATTTGTGATTATGTTTTAGACTATCACATATATGCACACATACATTAATATATACATATATACACACACATACATGGCTACCTCATTCTATTTAAATGCTACACTGTATTCTATTTATAGTTGTACAATAATTTAATAGTTTTATTGAAGAACACTTGGATGGTTTCAATATTTTATGAATTGATGCTTTAGTAAAACACAGATGCATGTGTGTGGGCATTTGTAAACTTACAACTAGGAGAGATTTTCAGAAGTAAAATAATCATGTCAGTTACATTTCAACATTTAAAATGTTGATAGCACTTGTCCAATTATTTTTTCACAGAAGAGAAAGATAGAAATTTTCCCTACACATTGGTCAATAGTAGATGCAATATATTTGCAAAACTATAGCTGAAAATGTTGCCTCTTATTATTTATGTTATATCCCTAAATACTTGTGAGACTGAATATCTTTTGAAGTGTATCTTGCCCAAACTGTGTTTCTTTTCTGTGAATTTCCATTCATAATTTTTAGAAATCTATCTTTCTATGCTGGATACAGGCAGCCTGATTGGGGTTTAAGCAGATCACCAGACTTAATGCCAGCACATTTCAACCCAGCCACTTCTAAAAGCCACACAGGCTCTGCCTGGTTTCTCACCACAGAAGGTGAGGCTCCGCATCCTTCCTGGCCTGAGTTTAAACTTCTCAGGGAATGTAGCTCTAGCCTACATCCCCCTGCAGCTGTCTACTATGGCCATTTCTCATCTAGCCACCGTAGGACTGTAACACTAGGAACCCTGAAATGAAGTTGTTTTGTAATTGATTTATGGCTGATCCTTAAACAATCAACTCCTTCCACAAAATGTTACTGATTAAACATTCAAATATGGTGGGCGCTGCGCTGGGCGTCTTCTCTAAGTCTAGCGTGCTGTGTGGAAAGAGTCACTTTTTCAATAAAACCCCATGCTGTTTTGCAGTTTACAATCGCTATATTCTTTTCTTGAAATTAGCGCCGCTGTCCCTGTCCATTGTTTTACCTGGGGGCCTTCTGTCTGAAGATCCAAGTGCTTCTCCCCAGGGCTGGGGTGAGCTTTATGGATGGCACAGGGGGATGGCTCAGGGTAATTTCTGAAGGACTAAAACTTGGGGCAATCCCAGTCGATCTTCAAACCATTCCAAGTTGGTCCTCCTGGATCGCAAGTGGAGGCAAGGAAGACTAAAAAGGGCAAGAGTAGCAGCTATGTTTCAAGCTTCAGCTGAATTTCACCACTTCTCCACAGAGCCTGGGGCCCAGGATACCCACATGGCTTCTGTGTGAACTGGAACTCAGCACCTGTGTTAACTAAAGCTCTTTACTGTCTCTTCTGGGCTTGGCTTTTTTTTTTTTTTTTTTTTTTTTTTTTTTATTTGTACTGGGGATCAAACTCAGGACTTTGCACTTGCCAGGCAAACACAATGGCACTGAGCTACATCCCCAGCCAAAACAAACTCTGGCGGATACCATAGGAGGTAAAGGTTAAATACACAGCCTTCCATCTTGCCATTTTGCTTGGGTTTTTGTTTGTCTTATGAGACAACGTCTCAGAATGTAGTTCAGGCTGGCCTTGAACTACCAGGGATCCTCCTTCTTCAGCTGCACGTGTTCTGGGGTCACAGGCCTGTGCCACCACACCCAGCTTCGTACCTTTTTCTTTGTAGTTCACTAGATCTCTCATTGCCTCTTGGATAGACTTACTGGTTTATTTATTCTCCAAGCTTAGTGATGTTAGATACAGTTATCCCTTGCTTTCAGCAGCAGATTTATTCCAGGACCTAACTCCCATGAATAATAAGAGTTGCAGATGCTTGAATTTCCTATATAAAACGGTACTGCATTTGCATATAACCTATGCACTTCGTCTCATATACTGTACAACATTTCTAAATCACTCATAATACATAAAATGTGAACGTTGTCTATGCGGCAATGACCAAAACGCTGTATATGTTCAGTATGGAGTTTTTTTCCTGACTGCTTCTCTCTGTGGGTGTTTGGACCTGGTGACACAGAATGTACATGAAGAGCCAGGTGAATTTTGTGTCAACTTTTGCACTGTATCCAACCATAAAAGGACAACTTTCTTTTTTTTTTAAGGCCAAGTTCAGATTTTTACTAAAGAGTAACTGTTTGAACCTTAGAGAATTTTAAACCTGGCTTAACAGCTTAACAGCTTTCTAACCCACTCATGTGCATGTGTGCACAACATACACACAACTGATACACCACACGAAATGTCACCCGAGTCAGTGATCAGAGTCTGGGCACACGTAATAGTCCCAGTTTTGCTGGGGGAAAGCAGAAGACGGAGTCAGGGTCACATGCTGTGATTCAGTTTCAATGCCCAAAGTGGGCAGTCGGGGCAGATAGGGAAGCACTGAGGAAGATGCTTTGTGGTGACCATTCATGGTTCTTCAACTGTACTTTTGGTGGGAAACTGAAATCTATCTGTAAAGGAACAATTCCAGCAGAGCAGAACGGGACACACCAACCAAACTCCTTCACATGGGATTATATGGGAGCCTCTGTAAACATTCATAGCGTATGAAAACTGGCCTCTTCTTAGTTCCTACCCACTAGAGGTGCATAGTAAGTCGTATCCCCCCCTCCACCAACAAATGGGAAGGTAGCCGTTGCTATTCTCCAATAAAATCAAGAATTTTATATCTAAAATACAAGCCTATCTAGTATGAATGAATAAATAATCTGAGGGTTGTGTGGGGTAAACTACAGCAACACAGAGCCACTAGATCTAGGTTCCAGGCTTATCTCGAATTTCTTTGTCAGGCACTATAAGCCTTTATAAATACTTACGGAACAATTCTACAGGCTAGTATTTCTACTTCTAAAAAAAACATAAACCAACCAAAAACTTGATTCAAGCAATGTGTTCTAGGTTAGAGTGACTAACAGTCAACATTTAAAGTCACGGAATCATCTATCCCCTTTCTGCCAGACCTGGTACTGCCAATCTCCTTAACTCGATAGCCACGTCTTTTAAGATCGATAAAAACAATTGTGAAATTGAAGTGTGTACCCTTCTTTCTAGCTTCTGGGCAGACTTCTTTTACTGAACTAGTTAGTTCTTTCAAGGTTGCATCCATCCAGGTGTACATCTGCAGCTCGCTGGATGGGACGTTGCAGCCGGAGAACTCATCCATGCGGTGGCGGTGGCTGTTGTTGGTGGTGAAGACCCGCAGCAGCTGCGGACGTGTCTTCTCCAGGTCGATTGGCTTCTCTGGCTCCTTCTTAATTTCTTCCTAGGTGACGCGCTACTCCACAGCCATCTTCTCCCTTCTGGCCGCCGGACGCTCGCCCTGACCTCCGACACTGGACCTGAGCATGAACACGGAGTCGCTACAACTGTCTTTATAAAACTCATGTTTTAATACAGCATGGAACCTGTATACTGAGTTTTGCTACTTAAACACTTCGTGTGTGTGAATGGGAAAGTGACTACTACTAATTGTGTCTACTGTCAGGTACTTCAAGGTCCCTACTATGTCTTTATTCTAAACACAACTTTGAGTAGAGCTCTGTAATTATTGTATTCTTATAACCCCATGTCTTGCATGGAAATGCAGCATTTAATCTAAACACGTACTGTGATTTTATGCAGAAAATAGCTTCCCGACACTTTGTGTAGCTCCTTTTACACATTAAGTCACACAGCCTGTGAGCAACTGTGAAAGGGCAAGGGCTAATGCTGCAGCGGCCCCAAGTTCTTGGCTGGTTAAAGATTTTCATACATTTTATTAGATTAGTAATAAATTTTATAGTTAACTGAAATATGCAATTTTAAATGCACATTATCAATATTACCAGCTTGATTCTTCGGCTTAGTTTTGCATAGATTGAAACACTGCGGTTTTCAAATCAATTAGGAAAAGAGTTAATGGTCACTTAAGTTTTCCCACGTGAGAGAAAGTATCAGAATAAAGTATGCGTGGGCAGTGAGTGATAATGTATAATGTTGTAAATGCCATGATAATAATGTAGGTGCCATGGGGTATAACTGATTAGCATGGGAGAGATCTCTTAGATATTCCTGTTTGCAGCAAAAAAATATTTTAAATCTCAGAAAATGTACAAGGTAAAATGTAGATAAAGATAAAATGCAGGGGACAAAGAGAAAGAAAGAGCTGTGTGGTCGGGTATTGGATTTTTTTTTTTTTTTTTTTTTTTGTGAAGAAATTTGATGAGTGGTCTTTCTGCCACCTTGGGGACCAAGAGAATATAGTTGCAGAAGATAGTGTCTTTGGAGACTGGTGAATTACTAATCAGACCTACTCTTGCATTCTATACAAGTAAAGAGTGAAGTTTGTTTGTAGTTACTTTTGGATCCTGAACTGTACATTTTAAAGATAGTCCAGGCAGAGGTTGTAGCATGTGGGGACCCGTGAAGTGTTCAAGTGACGCAGATGCGTCTGAGGAGAGAGGTGGTATAAAGGTGTCCCACATTTTACGTGTTGGGAACCTAATACACAAAGCAACGGTGTTGAGGCAGTCAGCATTTGGGAGACATTCGTGTGGTCAGGGTTCTACCCTTCTAAATAGATTAATACTACTAAGGAAGCCCTTGATGGAGGGAGCCGCCTTTCCATGTAAGCACACAGCTTTCTTTCCTCCTGAGAATGCAGCGTCACTGGGCCATCACAGAAGCCTCACGGAAGCACCGTCCACCACGTCACCGTGTCAGTTGTTGAGCTCAGATTTCCCAGCCTCCTGGACTGGAAAAATGAATTACTGCTCTTTACAGATTACCCACGCTCTGAAAGTGTAAAGAAGAATCAAAGTGCATGATAGGTATGGTGAATTAGGAAGAAATTGTTCAAAAGGAAAAGGAAACCAGGGAAGGGGGAGGGGGAAGGAAGGAATGGAAAAGAAAAGTGAGAAAAGGATAAAATGGGAACAGAGCTTTATAAATAAGGAGAGGAAGAGGAGTTGAAGGGAAGGGAGAAAATGAGAAAAAAAGAGGAATCAAGATACAGTATGTAAAGATACAAATTACGATGAATGAAATCATTATCTTTATAAATTATATCAATAAACAGTAAAGCATAAATAATAGGATCTATTAAAAATGGATTACCCAGTCTCAGGTATTTTGTTATAAAAGCACAAAACATATTGAAGCAAGAGTCTTACGATGCCATAATAAGTTCACATGTGGAGAGAGAAGTGACAGGACTCCGTGGAATAAACAGATACATAATTCTAAGAGCAAGAACTCTAGATCCAGGCCATCCGGATGCTCACTGCCTCCACGACTTAGTCTCCATGTGGCTATGTGCTCGATTTCTCACAGCGTTATGCTCTGCTCTGCAAAGGTGGGGTAAATGAAACTGTCTGCCCGATTGTTTTGTAAAAATCAGTGTATAAACGTGTTTCTGTCAGACAGAAGTGCCACAGAAATGTCTGTTATCATTTTAACATGCAATAAAGCAAGAGAGGGAGCATAATACGGAGGGAAGTTTCTTCTCTCTTCGGTTTTTCTTTTTGTAGTTTCAGTCACCAGCCCTCAACTCCCATCAGAAAATATTATATAGAAAATTATTGACCTAAGGAAATGGTACATTTCAAATTGTGCACCATTCTGAGTCAGCACGATGACACTGCGAACTGAATCATTCCATTCAGCCTGGGCTGTGGATAAATTGTCCAGAGTCACCCCTATTTAGAATAAAAGCTTGGTTATCAGATCAACTTTTGAAGTACTACAAAACTTATGTTCAAGTAATCTGTACTTTACTTCGTGGAGACAAAGTGCAAGAGTAGTGATACTGACAATTCATATAAGGCAAAGAGAAAGACCTTGTTGTTTGAAATGTTTGAAAAAAAATTAAGACACAACTTTGTTGCTCTAGAGCTAGTTTTAAAAATTTATAGAGATAAGCACTTGTAAGAGTCTCCCTTTTTACTTTTCTGGAGATTTTCCTTAGTTCTGGATCCCTTTGTGATCAGGTGAGATATCATTGGGCAAATACGTATAAGACAGACCTAGAATTTTCTTCTAAAGAAGGATGCAGTACTAGGCAAGTGAGGGTGCTGAATGATCCTCATCCTGCCAGGGAACCAGGTTGTTGGAGTCTGGAGTCCCTGAGAGAAGGCCAAGGATAGTGACTTATTGAGTTGAAATGGTAGGTGGCTAATATTTAAGATATTCAAAATTTCAGTGAAGTGTTTAGTTGCCCCTTCTTAGATAATGATGCTCCAAAAAAGGACTGAGTGGAACTATGTTCTAAAGTATGCATTAAATGAAAAGAATGCAAACTGTGCAACAATGAAGTCTCTTGTGGAGTTAATGGTATTGGGAGTGTAATTTTTCTTGTAAATTTCACCATGTTGTTCACTGTTAGTTTTCAAGTACAGTATAAATAAGCACAATTTCCTAAAAGTTAATTGTTTATGGAGAGTACCTGTTAGCATCTCTCAGGATGCAAGTATTCTACTGAGTATAACTGGGGGTATATGATATTAAATCATAAATCATAGTCATAGAAGAAAATTCCAGTTCCTTCTTCTGCTTTTTGAATGAGGATATGTAAACAATTTCAAAATCAGGGAGCTATTTCATTATTTAGACTGCTTTTAGAGGAGGCAATTCCTTATGTCTACTTTGTCACAAAGGACTCCCTCGTTGGAAGGCAGCTGCTTTCCTAATCCATGTAATTAACAAATGTCAAATGCCCCCTGCATCAGAATATCATGGCTAAAGGTCACCAAGGCCTAGACTTTGAAATGTTTATTTTGTGTTTGTCATAAGGAATCATCTCTAGAAAGAAGGCTAGGCTAAAACAGAGCCAAGATTTGCAAAGAGCAGTCATAAATCTAAGGGGTCTGATTCATCGGAGCTGTATAATGGCAGAGAAGGACTCCTAAGGAGAAGGACATAAATGTATGTATCGTGAAACGCAAAGTTATTAAAGTTCCAGACCATGTTCCTAGCATGATTCCTCACAGCCAACATGTCTTTTTGTAGGATGTTCAAGGGATTCTTAGAAAAGGAGAGGTGTTAGCAGAAGGCTCTATGAAAGAAGGGAATGCCTCAAGAAATTGTCTGTGAGAGCAATTACCACTCAAACAATATCTGTTATGACTCCTTAATTCCAGAGGACAACAATCATCTCAAATAATACTAATATCTGCAGTACACTGTGACAACTTTTCGGACAACAGGTAGAAAATTGGGCAAAACAAGATTTCTGTGTGAATTGTATCTTTCTTGATGTCTGAGTAATTTTTCAGCTTTATTTATTTACAGTCATGATTTCATGAAGTTCAGGCTTTAATATTTCTGATTCTATGGTGTGTGACAGAGCTTCTCTGTCATCCCCTTCATGTTTCCCGTCCTACGTTCAGCTTCAACAGGTGTAGATTTGCCACAACAAATGTTAATTGCCTATTTACTGTCTCCCTGCTTGTTCAATTTACTCGCAGATCATTTCCTATTCAGAGCCTGACAGCAGTGTGTCTCTCATTTACTCCACTAATTGGTTCAGGTTCTAAAAAAGCCACATTTTGAAGAACTTAGCTTCCCGTGAGTTCGCCTTGATCCTTCAAGCCACCGCCATGGCCAGAGCGAGGTAGCATCTTTGGGAGGATGACAGCAAGTAGCCAAGGGGAGAACAAGATCGCTGGGCTGCATCTCCCCTGGAGCACTCTATAAAGAAACAGAGCAGTCTTCACCAACACGTCTTCAAGTAAGCTTAATTTGATCTTAATTTTTCAACCATTCAAGGGGTTGCCTGAAGTTCAACCGTTCTGCTAAGCAGCTCCGTGGTATATTTTCATTTCATTTCACTGATTTCACCCTGGATCTTTTATGTCATTTGTTCTGATGGTTAAGCAAAGGAAGAAAGACAAGCAGGGCAAATATCGAGGCTTATCCTGAGAAAATGCTGAAAAGCTCTGATCAGTTGGAGCTCAGAGATGAGAAAAAGTCTTCTTGGAGATAAAGGTGTGCTTGGAATATTTATTCTCAGGTCAGCAGAGGATTTGTAGTCAATAATTTGGAAGTGATCCGAGATTTCAGTTTTCCTTTTTGGAAATAAAATATGAATATATATATTCGTGTATGTATGTATGCACTCTCATTAGCTGTATTGAATCATGGACAAAGCAATTCGGCAAAATGTGGTATTACTGACCACCCTGAAAAGTTGAAGGAAGGTACCATTGTTCTGAGCATCTCTGCATTCAAACAGAAGACCTGTTTGTGCAGAGTTGATACAGACTGGAACTCGGGCATCACGAAGTCTGTCACGAGGCAGCGTGGTCATGGTGCTCTTTACACACGCAAGGCTCGCAGGAGTTACAGAGGAGTAAGGCACAGAAAATCCATCAAGGAAGGTTATAGCTTTGGTGATGAGCACAAAGGTATTGCTTGCAGTTGTATTGCACACATGTGGATATTTAAAGTTAATCCTGAATGAATTCTACTAAAATGAAAAACATAGTCCCTGAATATCTAAACCATTCACTAACTGAAGCTGCCTACTAGTTGCTGTATTGGGCAGTGCAGGCGTAGACCGGTCACCCCTTTCATAAAGTTAATTGACCACACTGTGGCCATTCAAAGCACCTAAGAAAGCTCCATATCCACGATGGATATCCCGATCTTTACACCCTAAAAGGAATTGTATCGGCAGAAATAATTTATTTAATCTAAGCAGAAAAACCTCGCTATAATCTTAAGAAATTCTATGTCTTTCCATTAAACTGTGGACTTTGGAAGGTGGTTCCTATTGTTCCTAAGCATGAAAAGAGAAGATTAGAAAGGAACTTTCAAGGGCAGAAAGCATCTCCCTGTTATCAGGGGTTTTGTTGTTTTATTATGGTCAGATGGAGACAAACGCAAGATGGTGGCTTGTTATGGGTTTATATGAAACTTTACTTTGCAGCTTAGGAAGACACGCTGGTGCTAGAGTGTATTTTTACAGCTTTATTGTGTTGTAATTAATATACAACATATATGTATTTAATGAGTTTAAACATATGCTTATAACCTTGAAATGGTTTCTCCATATTCACCATATCCAAAATTCCTTTGGGCTTTTTTTCTTTTGTTTATGATAAAAATCACTTAACACGAGACCTACCCGCCTTAACAAAATTTCAAGTACACAATACATTATTGGTGACTGTACGAGCTAAGCTACAAAACAAATCTCTAGAACTAACTCACCTGGCATAAATAAACTTTTATGTCAGTTGAATAATTACTGTTCCCCAACCCTTACCCCTGTGAACCATCCTGCCATTCTCTGTTTCTCTAAGTCTATCCTTATGGATGTAGATTCAGGCAGTATCTAATTATTTCTGTGATTGACTTATTTTGTTTAAGGTAAGTGTCTTCCAGGTTCATCTATGCCATGCACTTCAAGATTTTCCTCCTTTTTATTCAGAGGTGTGCTTATGCCACACTTTAATCATGAACAAATACAAATTCATTCTATAATGCTAGCATTACTCTCACAGCAAACCCCAGCAAAGACAGTAAAGGAAAAGAAAATGATAGTCAATACTTTGGGGGAACACAGAAGAGAAATGTCTTAAAAAATACTAGCAAACCATATTCAATACCACATTAAAAGGGTTGTACACCATGACCAAATGGGACTTAACACTGGGATGTGAAGGTGATTCCGTACACCCAAATCAATGTTACATATCACATTAATGAAATAACCATCTTGATAGACTCAGAGAAAAATCTTTTGACAAATTTTAACAACTGTTCATAATAAAACTCTCCACAAATTAGAAATAGAAAAAACTTACCACGCTATAATAAAATTATAAATATAAACTTCACAACTAGTGTCGTGCTATACAGTGGAAACCTGGGAGCTTTTCCTTTAAGGTCAGGAACAAGACGAGAAAGGCCACCCTTGACATTTCTATTCAGTGTAGTACCGGAACCTATGCTCAGAGTAACCAGCTATGAACAATAAATAAAAGGTATCAAAGTAGGAAACAAAGAAGTAAATTGTTTGCAGACATCCTTATATTATATATTTCACCTTTGGAAGATACAGATGTAATTAGGAACATGTTTCATGCCTACATGTATTTCTTAAGAAGGGCAGATTAATGTGTGTGTGTGTGTGTGTGTGTGTAAATGCTGAAGCTTCCTTACACCACTTCTCTCCAAGAATTTTCTTTTAGGAATTCTTTCTAAAACTTCTCATTTCCTACTCAGCTATTTGTCCTCAGTTCTGTCTAAGTAACAGGGTTAGGCATTAATTATTTTTCCTGAAAAACAAATAAGCAAGCAGACCCAAATATTTAAAACTCAAAAAACAAAAATAAATAAATTAAGCTTCTTGAAAGAAGCTAACACCATTTTTATGACCAAGATTAAGTTTTTGTCTGTCACCTCTTCTGAGAACTTTGATTTGCCTTATTGCTGTTTTGAGTGGCACAGGTCCTTTAGGTCTGACTCTCCAGGCCTACAAATAAATTTGCAAAAACATCTTACAATAAAAATATGGGTGAATGTACAGTAAACACACACACACAATGTTATCAGTATAGTAATCTTAACATTTTTTAAAGGCATAAAAATATTTGCAAAGAATAGACCATAATGTTAACAGTAGTTATCTCTGGGTGGTAGAATTATGGATTAGGAAAACTGCCTTCTTCATCTTACTTTGCATTTAAAAAACTAACATAATTTGAGACAGCGTTTGTGAAGCTCTCATTATGCTGTAAGAATTATTTTTATTCTTTGTTACCTTCTAATACATAGCAATCTATTAATACAATTTTACACAATTGTATTTATGGTCTGTGTACAATTCTGTTGTCTCTTTTTCTTAAAGAAATGAATGAACACATTTGAAGTGAGAAGCATGAACTATATGTCAAAAAGAATAAAAAACTCATAAATTTTGATCTGGAGATCTTAACATCTGGAGAGGAAACGTGGATATGTGAAACAATAAATATGATTCATCTTGATAAATGTTAGACTAGAAAGACAAAGTTCTGTAAAAGCCAAGGGGAAGAAAATTGGACAAGACAGAATAATCTTCATGAAAAACTGACGTTCAGATTGGTTTAGGATTACATATCATTTATACTCATTAATTTGAGCAGCTTTATTATATTACTACTGATTTATGTGTCAGACTTTAGTTAACCTGTCTAATTATAATATCCATTTTAAATTTTATTTCTTGGTTATTTTCATGCTTTTATAATCTTAGGTTGTGCTACCATGATCAACTTTAGCTAAAAAATCTTACCCCTAGGAACTTAGCTAAAAATTTTTTACATTTAGGAAAAATGTAGTATGCACGCTGGTCATAAATATTTTAATGACTGCGGATAAACTTCACCAACTTTTTATTGTTATTATTACCTCTATTATAATTATATAAATTTTAATTTCTACATTCACTTTGATCTTTGCTTTTCTTTTGAGGATTTTAGCTTTTAGTTTTTGGACATCGGTGTTTTCCTCTTGTCTGCCTTCCTGATCTATCAGGTACCTTTCACAATTTTGTGAGTGCATTAACTCAAAGCTAGGCATTTGAATTGCTGTTTCTCATCCAGCCTTTGAAATGAGCTAGTCTTAGAGGTCTATGATCACTGTAATGATTGATGAGATGCTTTAATTCAATGAAATTAATTTTTATTCAGTAATTATTCTGTGTGGTGAAAGTCAACACAAATAAAAATGAAAAATTATTAAAAATATACATAATATGTAAACAGGAATATCCATAACATATGAGGGTTCCAGGAGTTTTATATGAAAAATGACAGATAACTAACATAGACAATGGCAATGTAAGCATTTCACAGAAGAAATACAATTCAATAGTGAGCATAGGAGAAAACTGCATGAAATAAAAAATGTTGATTAAAGCCATGGGATATCATTTTTCTCTCAATAGAAAGGCAAAATTTGGAAGAGATTCTTACCTACTGCTGTCAACAGTGCGGAGAAGTCCCTCCAACAATGTTGGTGGAGATATAATGATGTTTGGAAGGAAATTTGGTAGTAGTAATAAAAAAGATACATATTGAATCAGGAAGCTTATCACAAACGTTGTTCTTACATTGTGGAATCTTCACACACCGGGCATTTATGCCAGGAATTACAAGACGTTGCTTCTGCGTTTGTCTCACTACCTAACATATTCATTGCAGACCAGTTGGCACTGGGCTAATGTCTCAAACTCTGTGAGGGGCATCTATGGTAAGGAAAGAGAACAAGCATGCTTTGGCTTCTTAGCTGCCTACTCAGAGATACACCTCCCTTTCTCCTCCTACAGATGATTTATTGGCCGGAGCATTACACAATAGAGCTTATTGGCTGTGGAACAGTAGAGCAGGCTCTGCTGGTAAGATACTGTAAGGAAAGGGGCAGACAATGCATTTACCATTTTTTCTTTCTCATTTTCCAAAGCAGTTCCTCTCTGCAGTCATCTCTTTCACAAAACCAAAACTATAAGTTTCGTCAAATTGTATCTAGCCATGTGTATTGAAACCTTATGTGTAGCAGCGGGAAAGGGAGAAATTCTGTTATGGGCAAATACCAAAAAGAGTGGAGTGCCAATGTATGTGCTAATGGGCTTACATAGGGAGGAGCATGAATTACACTGTTTAAAAAAGTAATAGAATACTAGATTCCTATTTACACTGCACAAAGAAAACACATTTATTTTCTTAGTAGTTTGAAAGTCAG